GAGCGGTAGGTTCCTGGACACAGAGCGATCGTGTGGTTCGCACCCTAACTGGGACATTTCTGAACGCGAAAGGAATGCTGGGTACTTTTCACCGAGACTCCCCAGGTAGCCTTCCCTCCTAGAACAGGCCTGTCCTCCTCTGCTAAGGTTCATGCGTTATGATCCTACTCCCTTCTCAGACTCAAGGAAGGGATAACAACAAACATATGTCATTGCTATATTTATTATTTTTAGTATCTTTTTTTTTATTGATTTCAGAGAGGAAGGGAGAGGGAGAGAGAGATAGAAACATCAATGATGAGAGAGAATCATTGATCTCCTGGTTCATAGGTCGACGCTCAACCACTGAGCCACCTTGGCTGGGCTCGTTATGATACGTATTGAGCACTTACTATTGCCAGGCACTTATAGTATCTCATTTAATCCCCGCCACAACCAGATGAGGTGGGTACCAATTTTGCCTGTTGAGGAAATAAAGCATAGGAAAGGTAAGCCGCTTGTCCGGGGTCACACAGTTAAGGATGGAGCTGGGAAGGCATCCGGGTCTGGCTCCAGAGCCTGTACCCTTGGCCAGACGACCCTTCTAGGGGGCTGGAGGCTACACCGAATCCTGGTGGGGCCCTGCCATGTCCAGGAGGGCTGCTGCCTAAGCCCCACTCCATGCCCCTCCTCATGCCAGACCCATCTTCTCTTCCATCTCTTGCTGGATGACTTTGGTCCATGGTCACTGATACCCCTGAGGCCCAGAGGCACAAACTCTCACAACTTCCTGCGCAGATCCACCTGCAGACCTGTCCAGGCATGAGGTCCCCGCATCCACATTCATCCAGTCTCCAAGGACAGGCTTGCTCTCCATAGTTCACCCTTGTGCTCAGGTCCAGACCTGCCACCCGGGGACATTGGGGTGCCAATCACTGCTTGGTCTTTTCACCCTCACCCTCTTCACTGGATCTTTTTTCTCTCCTGTCTTGAAGAAATCCTCTATATATCACCCAGTTGTACACCCTTCAATGCATATAGGACAAAATCTAGATTCTGTTTTGTAAAAGCCAGGGCCCTTCTGTTTGTTTGTTTTGTTTTGTTTTGTTTTTTGTTAATCCTAACCTGAGGATATTTCCCCATTGATTTTTAGAGAGAGTAGAAGGAAGGAAGAGAAAAGAGAGAGAGAAACATCGATGTGAGAGAGACCCATCAATTGGTTGCCTTCCATTCCTGTCCTGACCAGGGCCAGGGATCAAGCCTGCAACTTAGGTATGTGCCCTTGCCTGGAACTGAACCTGGGACCCTTCTGTCCCAGCACCAATGCTCTGTCCCCTGAGCCAAACCAGAGAGGCTCAGGGCCCTTCTTGCTCTGACCTCACTCCATTTCTCCGGTTGCTTCTCTCAGAATGCCCGCACGCTCCAGCTCCTCACTGTAAATGGCCTAGTAACAGTCCCTAACTCATATGGCAGGGGTGGGGAACTTCTTTCTGCCCAAGGCCACTGGATATTTATAACATCATTCACGGGTCATACAAATTATCAACTTAAAAATTAGCGGCTATATTTGGTCAGACATTTAAATTAACTCACCCCTAATGCCATGGCAGGGCCAGACCAATGGTTTCATGGGCCTTCAAAGGCCCAGGGGCTGGACCTTCCCACCCTTGCTCTAATGCAGGGGTTGGCAAACGCATGAGTCAGCAGAGCCAAATATCAACAGTACAACCATTGACATTTCTTTTGAGAGCCACATTTTTAAAACTTAAACTTCTTTAAAAAAAAAAAAATATATATATATATATATATATATATTATTGATTTTTTTTTACAGAGAGGAAGAGAGAGGGATAGAGAGCTAGAAACATTGATGAGAGAGAATCATGGATCAGCTGCCTCTTGCACACCCCCTACTGGGGACATGCCTGCAACCAGGGTGCATGCCCTTGACCAGAATCAAACCCGAAACCTTTCAGTCCATAGGCCGACACTCTATCCACTGAGCCAAACCAGTTTTGGCAAAACTTAAACTTCTTCTAAAGCCACTTCTTCAAAATAGACTGGCTCAGGCCGTGGTATTTTGTGACTCAAGGGGCCAAAGAGCCACAGGTGGCTTGCGAGCCACAATTTGCCGACCATGGCCCTAACGGATGGCAAGCATTTAACATACTTCCAGAGATGGGTACGTTTTCCAATCATGTAAGGGATCACGATGATTCCGGTGAGGGCGGAGGAACCCTGGTTGCTTCTCAGAGGGGGCGCCATTGGAGCCAGCGCTTGCAGGCTGGGGAGGAGGTGTGGGGGGCAGGAGCGCAGGCAGGAGAAGCAGCACAGGCATGTGGGTGCTGGTGGGCATGCCCCGAGTGGCCCAGGTTGGAGAGGCCCAGAGGGTGTGGAGGCGACGGGAGAGGGTAAAGTCAGAAAAGGCAACGCTGACCTGGGTGTGGTGTTTGGTCTGTGGACAGTGGGGCCACGGGAGAGACTTGGAGGGAGGGAGGAATGCAGCCACCATCATCCTCTGAACTTCTGCACCAGCTCCTGAAGCTCGGCCTCTTCTCTGACCGCACACGGCCAGAGGGGCCTTTGGAAACATTCCTCTGCCTTCGCCTGGCTCCCATCTCCCCTGGCTCCCACTGCTTCTGGGTAAGAGCCAGCCCCCTTCCTGTGTGGGCAGAGCCCTGCCGGGCCCGGCCCCACCCACCGCCTCTTGCTCACTCTCTCCGTTCCATCCACACGGGTGGTTTCCACCGATCCCTCCTGCTTCCTTCAGACAGTGACGCAAGGAACATCTGCACGTTTGCCACGCACGGCTCCCTCCCTCAGGGTCTTTGTGCCTGCTGATCTCTCTGCCTGGAATCCTCTTCTTCCTCTTACCAAAGGTCTAGTTAGTTCTTACTCATCCTTCACATCTCCATCCAAACATCCTTCTCTGGCGCTCCCCTTTTATTTATTCATTTATTTGTCTATTTATTTATTTTAAAAATATATTTTATTGATTTTACACAGAGAGGAATTGAGAGGGACAGAGAGTTAGAAACGTCGATGAGAGAGAAACACCGACCAGCTGCCTCTTGCACACACACACACACACACACACACCCCGCTGGGGATGTGCCCGCAACCAAGGTACATGCCCTTGACCAGAATCGAACCAGGAATCTTTCAGTCCACGGGCCAATGCTCCATCCACTGAGCCAAACCGGTCCCGGCTGGCTCTGCCCTTTTAGAAGGCCTCACAGGACCAGGCCCCTCTCTGTTGTCACACTACCCACCGTTCCAACTTCACCTCTCTTTGTGGGATCCCAATGGGGCCGTGAACTAGGAACGGGGGGGGGGGGGGGGGGGTGCTCTAGCACCCTGCTGCACCCAGGGCCCGCACAGGGCCTGGCGTGGTCTGTGCAGTGGAATGTGGTTTGGGGAACAGGAAGGAGAAGAAGGGGGGGTGCCTGCAGGAGGCTGCATTCGTGGCGGGAACAGAAGTGGTGCCTGGAGCTCAGGCAGCTGCGAAGGACCTGGAGGGGGACATGCACTGACACTGATGAGACGGGGCGGGGGGATGGAGAGCAGGATGAGTCCGGTGGTTTGCCAGTAACTGGGGCATGGGCAGGTGGACGGAGGGGTGAAGGCCAGGAGCAGGTCCCGGAAGCCGGAAGCTATGGCTGTGAGCAAAGCGAGTTTGAGCGAGGCTGTGACCGGAGCGTGGGGCTGGCCTCGGAGGCGCTTGATGCAGGGAAGCCTGGGCTGGGGTGGGGGCGGGCTTGGTTAGAATTCTGAGAGGGAAGAGGACAGGACCCTGGGCAGGGGGTCACCCACACGAAGAGAACAGAGAGGGCGAGGGTTGCATCTCTGAACTTCAGTTTCTTCAAGAGTCCGAAACATCGATACTGACTGAAACGGAATCACTCCTTGCTCTCCTGCGCCTATTGTTTTAGACAGGTTCATAATAAAGAGTTAAAAAAGAAAAGAAAAAAAGAAAGAAAGAAGGCGGGCAACACTGCCAACCGCCAACCACTTAGGGTGATTCTGAGGCTGAATGAGATAATGTAGATCCAGTCCTTAGCCAGCCGCCTGGTACAAAATAAGGGCTGGATAAATCGTCATCATCAAGGTACTTGACCGCATGTCCATTCTGAACCCAGGGGTCTCAGAGAATCAGAAGACAGATAACCAACTAAGTGGCCTGAGGCAGCCACACCCTCAGAAGTCAAACGCCCGGGAGTTCTAGAGCTGGAGGTCACGGGCCAGCCCTTGCCAGCAAGTTGATCAGTGCTCCCGGCAGGGGCACAGGATGGTGGCGAAGCCTGGGACAACCCCCTGCTGGGCCACCCTGCACGCCCTCTGTTCCCGCCCTCACCCGCCCGACCTCACCACGTTCAATGGGGCCGGGCGACACCCAGCTCACAGAGGAGGGCGGCTCCCCGGCCCAGCCCTCCTGCTTCAAACCCAAGACCCTGCCTTTCTGTGTGAGCCGGGACGTGGGCTTGGCGGAACCAGGATGTGGTTCCTGGCTGGGAAGGGAGAGCCGGGGATTTTTTTTTTTTCTTTCGTGGCAAGAGGGAGCTCACAGAGGAACGGAGACAGGCCACAGGCCATGGAGAAAGCCACAGGCACTGCCTTCGCCTCTCGGTGCAGCCGCCGTGGTGGGCCTAGGCCTGGGGTCTGGGGGGGGGGGAGGCGGCTGGTGCACCTGGTCCCACAGCTCCGTGTAGCCTGGACCTCTCAGGCCCTGGGTCTTCACGCCACCACCCTGTGGCTCCGCGGCTCTGCATTGCTTGGCTCTGCATCCAGCTGTCCTCAGCCGGCGAGGGCCAGGCTTGGTGAGGGTCCCGGCCCCTTGAGTCCAGGCCACTTCTCAGGGAGAAGCCCACTTCCTCTCCCCTGGGGGGCAGCTGGAGTGTGGGCTGCAGTGGGACCAGGTGTGTTCCAGAGGCCTAGGCCAGCCCCCCTCCTCCTCACCCCGCCACCCCAGGACTGTGAGGACAGCTTCCCTGAGGCCCCTGCCACCCTCCCTCTGCCCGCAGTCTCGAAGTAGCGTGCAGCAGGGGGACATAGACGGGGCCCGGAGGCTGGGCCGCCTGGCCCGGCTGCTCAGCATCACCTTCATCATCATGGGGATCATCATCATCATCGTGACCGTGAGCATTAACTTTGCAGGTGAGTCCCAGCCGCGTGGCAGCCACGGCTGCGGCCTGGCCTCTGGGGCAGGGACAGGGGGTGGGGGGGTGGAGGGGAGGGAGGTCAGAGCCTGTGGGACCGCAGCCCAGCCTCTCGCTCCCAAAGAGCAGCTCCGTTCCAGGCAGCAGCCCGCGGAGCAGCCTGGCCGCGTGCCCCGTCTTGTTCCTGGAAAGTGGGTTAAACGGAAAGGGAGGGCCAAGAGCGTGACCCAGGAACCAAGAGGTCACCCGTCAGGGCACGTACCCAGGCTGCAGGCTCCATGCCCGGCCTGCAGCCCATCAGCGATGTTTCTCTCTCCTGGGCGTTCCTCTCTCTCTCCCTTCCTCTCTCTCTAAACATCAATAAAAACATATTTTTAAGAAAAGAAAGAGCACAGGCCTAGGAGCCGGAGGCGGGGGTGGCTAGTTGAACCCTAGGGCCTTTCCTGTCGGGAGCCGTGGGCAGAAGCCTCCAGCACGGAGGCTTCTGTGGGCATCGCGGGGATGACGGATGTGTCTGTCTTCGTAAATGGCGCTGAGACAGCCAGGTCAGGCCGGAAGTAAACAACGCACACGGTGGAAGTCAGAGAGGAACACATCTGTGAGCTCCCAGGAAGTTCTCCAAGGAGGGGAGCCATTTCCAAGGCTCACAAGGCCCATGCAGCTCCCCAGACAGAAGGAAGAAGCCAGACAGAAAGAAGACAGACAGACAGACACACACACACACACACACACACACACACACACACAAAGCCGCCAGGGATCTCGGCCCTTTGCGGTGACCAGCCCAGGTTTCCCCTAAAGACCTTGCTCCCCTAGACGGGCCCCACGGAGCAGCGGCCGTGGCTGCTGACCCCGGGAACGTGTCAGAAATGCAGACTCTCAGGCCCCACCCAGACCTCCTGAGTCAGAATCTGCATCTTTACTAAGATTCCCAGCCAATCATTCAGGTTTGGGAGGCACTGGTCTAGACTGTGGGGTGAAAGCCTGGGATTCAGCTGTGGGGTCATGGGCAATTGTGGCCCCTGAGGAGAGGGGAGAGGTCAGGTTTGTAACCACCTGCCGGGTTCGAACCCCACAGGCTCCTCTCTGCCTAGATTGAAGCGTCTTCCGTGACCTCCCCGGGCCTGACGGACACGCAGGCACGGGAGAGGCAGGAGCCCTCCCGCCAAGGCATTCGCCTCAGCATTGCCCACAATGCCTCTGTCCTGCTGCTGCTGGTCCTGCTGGCCACGACTCTTCCTTCTAAAATACATTTTATTGCCGAAACCGGTTTGGCTCAATGGATAGAGCGTCGGTCTGCGGACTGAAAGGTCCCAGGTTCGATTCCGGTCAAGGGCATGTACGTTGGTTGCGGGCACATCCCCGGTAGGGGGTGTGCAGGAGGCAGCTGGTCGATGTTTCTCTCTCGTCGATGTTTCTCTCTCGTCGATGTTTCTAGCTCTCTATCCCTCTCTCTTCCTCTCTGTAAAAAATCAATAAAATATATATTTTTTAAAAATAATAATAAAATACATTTTGTTGATTTTAGAGAGAGGAAAGGAGAGGGATGGGAGTTAGACTCATCGATGAGAGAGGAACACCACTGATCAGATGCCTCCTGCATAACCCCCATTGGGAATTGAGCCCTCCATTGGGCATGTGCCCTGACCGGGAATCGAACCGGCAACCTCTTAGTTTCTGGGTCAACGCTCAACTGCTGAGCAACTCTGGCCGGGCAGCCATGACTCTTTCGATGGCACATGCCAACCACTGAACTCAAAACGGCAGAGGGATTTCCACCAGGAAATCCCAGCAAAGATGCTCTGTGGTTGGGGCCCACAGGCCTCGGTCCTCTCACTGGCAGGTCAGCTCCAACCAACAGCCCCAAACCAGGGGGCCCCTTGTTGCCCTTGCCCACGAGGAAACAAACACCAAGTCCTCGGAACAGGGGCCCCGGGCCCCACGCTCTGAGCTCTGTCCTGCCGTAACTGTCCTTTTCTCTGCAGTCCAGAAGACATAGACGGTCCAGGCTCGGCCGGCAGAGGCAGCCCTGGCCAGCTGGCATTCCCACCCCACCCCCTCGCCCCATGGAGGACAGGACGGGGCTGCCAGGGGCCCACCTGTCCCCAGGCTCCAGAAGCACGAACTCAGAGGGACCCTCTGCCACTCCTCTGGGAAAAGCCAGAGGGAGAAGGAACGAAACGAAATGGACTTGAGCCAGTGGATAGTGTGGTTTAACCTCGTGGACACAGCCTGGCTGGCATGTGCCCCCGTGTTCTGGCTTCTTCCTCATCCCCACACTTTCCTGGCACCTGCCGAGCAGCGCATCCTGCCAGCAGGAGCAGAAACCAGCTGCACCGAAGGAGGAGCCGTGGGGGGAGAGAGCAGCAACGCCCGCAGGGCCAGGCGCAGAGTCGCGGGACTTTCTGGATCTTTCTGGATCTTTGCATTTTTCTTGAGGAGGGATGGAGAGGACTGTTTGCATGCGTGTGCCACATGCCTGCTGCGATCCTGGCCGTGCCCTGGCCTCAGAGGCCAAGTGATGCTCAGCACACGCCCTGCAGCCACACGGACCTCAGCCGCCCTGGATGGAGGCGACAGACAGCCTTCACCTGCACACACACACACACACACACACACACACACCACACACACACAGCCCATTGCAGGGTGGAGGCGCCGAACGGAATGTGGTGAAGACGGGAACAGGGGCAGCGTGACACAGACCTCTTCCCGAACTTCTTCTGCCTAGAACTATGGTCCCAGGAGTCTCCCAGGATGTCCCAGTCCACCTCCCGCCCTCCCTGTGCTCTGCCCGGGGCACCAACCGAGAACTCCCAGGGCCCAAGTGCCAGCTGGGGAGGCCCCCGGGCCTGAGCTTCCTCCTGCCACGGCCCCCAGTGATCTGGGGTACAAACCTGGGGCCCCGTACAGAGCAGCTCAGATGGGGCATGGGCGCCCTGTGCCTCCGCCTCTGCCCCTGGAGGCGGCTTTGGGACCTGGGGGGCACTTCCCAAGGGCGCAGGGAAGTGGGCCAGAGAGTTTTTATGAAGGTTTAGTGTTTCTTGGTCTAGGGCCGTGGTCGGCAAACTGCGGCTCGGAGCCGCGGTTTACCACTCTGTTGACTAATGAGTTTGCCGACCACTGGGATAGGGGCTTCATCACAAGGAACAGCAACAGCCTGTAATTATTGGAATCCAGAGTCTAGGCCAGTGGTCGGCAAACTCATTAGTCAACAGAGCCGCAGTTTGCTGACCACGGGTCTAGAGAATCCCAAGACAGAGGAATAGCTGGGCTGAAGGGCCAGTCGGTGGGAGAGGCGGGCTGGACACCAGGGCCCCTGGGCCGCCTGCCTGGCTTTAGGCCCCAGATTCTCCCCCAAATTCCGTGGCCCCCTTCCGCACGGGCTTTGGCTCCCAGACTCTGGGAGAGGGGTGGACCAGGCCTTCCCGCCTGGGGGTTACGGCGCTCAGTGGAGGGCAGGTTTCTTGCCGCAGCCAGACTGGCCCCCTCCCCTGTTGGCCAAGAATGTTCCCCTGAGCCTGTTCACGATGCTTAGGCTCCTCTTGGGACCCCTGCCAGCCCCCACCCTCCGCGTGGCCCTGGGAGGGCTCTGTTAGCGTGGACTGTCTGCCGGGGCAGTTCCGGGGCCTGGGCCTGGGCCAACCCAAGTGACTGCCAGGAGGGGAGGGTGCAGGCCCCGGGATCCCTCGGGGGAGGCTTTGCTGAGCCCCCCCGCCCCATCCCCCCAGGAAATCAGCTCCAGCTGCTCCCGCCCCAATGGAGAGCTGGTGTGTTTGCTTTATGGGAACTTTGAGGCCCAAAGAGAGACGCCCTGGTTCTGGGGTGGGGGTGGGGCGAGGGGAGGGGAGGGGAGGATGTGGGCTGGTCCAGAGTATTTGTGTCCCTGCAAGGTCAGGCCAGGCCGGGGAGACTGAGGCCTCTGGGAACTGGGGTTCACAGGCCCCTGTTCCCAGCAGGCGCCACGGGTCCTCTGCTCAGCACTTCAGGGAGGAGAGAGACAGGAGTCAGGAGAAGGTGATGGCTGAGGGCGGACGCTCCACTGCTCGCACCCCACGGGCAGCCCGGCACCCCCAGGCCTCGCCGGAGCTGGAAGGACAGTGTCTGCTCCGCGGCGGGCCGGCTGCTGGCCGTATGAACGCAGTGTCCCGGCTCCTGCCGCTGACCAGTCTCTCCCAGCCCCACAGGGAGCGGCGAGCACTCTCCCACCGCCCGCACCACACACCCAGGTCACCTCTGTATGTCTCGGCATGGAAAGAAATAAAGCTGCCTGCACACGCGCCCCGCGGCTGTGTCTGTGCTGCTGGGGCCGAGGGGTCCAGGCGGCTGCTGGAGGCCATGTGAGCTGGCCAGGACCCGGAGGGCAGGCCACGGTGGAGGTGGGCGCAGGGAGGGAGGAATTGCCACATGGCCATGACGGCTGCCAGCACCGGAGGCAAGAGGACGGGGGAAGGGGAGGAAGGCATGGGGTGGGGTGGGGTGGGTGGGGCGGGAACGGAGGGAGAGTCGCCGGACCCAGAGGCGGGGGAGCAGAGGGGGTGGGAGCTGCGGCCTGGGTTCAGGTCCTGCCTGTCCGTCCGTGGGGAAACTCCTTTACCTGCCCAGGGGCCAGGGGAGCACTTCCCGTGGGCGGGGAGCGGGCTCTGTGGTTTGGGGGAATTGTCTCATGGAATCCCACACCTCCTCCTACGCGGCCCCACTGACCTGGGGAGCAAGCGGAGGTGAGAGGCCGGGGCGTGCCCTGGCCATGCAGTCAGGATGGTGCCTCCCGCCTTAAGGGCTGTGAGCTGTTCCCAGGGAGTCGGCCGTTTCGATGGCCTCCCACCGCCCTCCCCGGCAGGTGACAGCCGCATTTCTCCGCAGCTTTCGGCTCGCCCTTTCCAAAGGCACGTGAAGCACCGCCTGGGGGTCTAGCCCCGTGGTCGGCAAACTGCGGCTCGCGGGCCACATGCGGCTCTTCGGCCCCTGGAGTGTGGCTCTTCCACAAAACACCACGGCCTGGGCGAGTCTATGTGGAAGAAGTGGCGTTAGAACAAGTTTAAGTTTAAAAAATGTGGCTCCCCAGAGAAATTCCAGGCGTTGTCCTGCTGACAGCTGGCTCTGTGGGCGAACGAGTTTGCCGACCGCTGGCCTGGATTAGGAGGAACCGTCACCGTGCGATGCTGCCAACTGAAGGCCAGTCGGCATCACGGCGCCTCTACGCCCGGGCACCGCCAGGAACCTGCGGCGGTGACGGCCTGCAGGTCCTTTGGCAACATTTGTCAGACACAACCCACGTCCAGAAACTTTAAAACGGGGGTGGGGGTGGGGAGGAGGATAGGTGTGTCTTAGGATCAGTCAGGGGAAAACCAGGGCTTCCACCCTGCAGGAGGTTTCAAATGACAGACTGCGCCCCGGACAGCAGCCTGTACGCTCTGAACCCTGACCCCCACGGCGAACCCTGACCCCCACGGTGAACCCTGACCCCCCACGGTGAACCCTGACCCCCACGGCGAACCCTGACCCCCACGGTGAACCCTGACCCCCACGGCGAACCCTGACCCCCACGGCGAACCCTGACCCCCACGGCGAACCCTGACCCCCACGGTGAACCCTGACCCCCACGGCGAACCCTGACCCCCACGGCAAACGGGGTGATAATCTGCTCCACACACCCACAGGGCTGCTTCCTGGTGCCCTGGGAGGGCTGGGGACACTGGGGGGACACGCATAACAATTTCCTGGGGCACGGCCTGGACTGTACCCTAGAATCTGGGAGGTTCTGGGCCCTGCAGGTGACCCTGAGCCCGAGTCCCTGCTGCCCCTTCCCGGCCCCTCCGCTCCCGGTGCGGGAGGGAAGACAGGGAGCCCGGCCCAGGCCCACACCTTCCACTCACCGGCCGCGTCGCCTCGGAGCCGGCCTTTCTCGGGGCCTCGGTGGAAGGAGGTGAAGGGTGAGCTGAGGGCCCAGAGCAGCCTCAGTCCCATGGCCGCGGGAATCACCGGGGACTGGAAGACGCTGCCCCCTGGCGGCCACGCCTGCCGCGTCTGGTGGACGTGACCTGGGCGTGGCCGGAGCACGAGGTCTGGAAGGCTTTCCAGGTGACCGCAATGGGCACTGAGGCCGGAGCCGCTGGGCTGGACGCACAGTCCTGATGCTCAGAGTGGGCCCCTGGGCATCGCAGGAGCTGCCAGCACTGCAGACTCTCAGGCCGCAGCCTGGCCCAAGGCAACGCCCCAAGGTCTGCCCTCGGCCGCGTTCTCAGGGGGTCACCCGCCCGGCCGGGCCCAGAGCCGCGGGCCGCTCACCACAGCGCTCTCACCTCCACCTCCCTCTCCAGGGGCCTCGGATCTCCCCTCTGAAACCACCGCGTCCTCTCTTCCTTACTCCCTGCCTGGTCTAGTGTAACAGACTGAGAAAACCTAGGGGCCCCCGTGGTCAGCAAACTGCAGCTCGCGAGCCACATGCAGCTCTTTGGCCCCTGGAGTGTGGCTCTTCCACACAACACCACAGCCCGGGCGAGTCTATGTGGAAGAAGTGGCGATAGAAGAAGTTTATGTTTAAAAAACGTGGCTCTCCGAAGAAATTCCAATCGTTGTCCTGTTGCTATCTGGCTCTGTGGACGAATGGGTTTGCTGACCACTGGCCTAGGCGATGCTGAGAAGCAAAGGACAGAGAGAGGCACCGCACGGTTCAGGGGCTCTCATAGCAGAAAGGGTCTGCCCCCTAAGTCTGAAGTGTTTGCCTGGGAGGTTGCAGCCTGTGTGTGTCCCAAAAGCACAATTCCCAAGGAACCCGGACCCCCTCCCCCAGCCTCTGGCCCCCACTGTGGACCTGCCTACACCTGCTCAGGGATGGAGAGAAGTCAAGCAGGTGCCTTAAAGCTGCTTGGACGGAAACCTCTACTCACAACCAGATTAACACCGAGGTCTCCTGGTCTCCACCTGCCAGACCCCAGGCCTGGGAGGAAGAGTGGAGGGGTTGGGGGGTGGGGGGGGAGAGCTGGTGAAGCTGCAGGG